AAAAAAAAAAAAACACAAAAGATTTTAAAACAAAATAAAAACTAAAAAAAAATCACTGCATAAAATGTAAAGTAAATTTAATTAATATTAAAGGCAAACAAACAATAATTATATGGAAAAAATTATATATACACATATATATAAATGTACACATTTATAAATTTATATACATCTATATATATGTATAATTGTAGTGCTTGCTATAGCCGTAATTTGTAATTTAATTAATTAAGTGGTAATTAGTGCTTGTGGTTAACTGTAGTTTTATTTAAACAAATAAAAAAAAACAAGCAAATGAATAAAAAATTAAAAAATAAAGTTATTTCAATGAAATTGTATTTAGTTTCTTTTATAATTTCATTTGCATTGTAAACTATTGAATTGAATTTAAAAAATTAAAAAAGAGTTAAAGTTAAATTAATATACAAAATAATAGAAATGTATATGAAAAACAAAAGAAAATATATTATGTGCTAGCATTTAATTAAATAGTTTTAATCTAGAAAATGGCAACTACTTTCTAAATAAATCAAAACAACAGCAAGCAGATATATATACATATATATGTATATCTCAGATAGAGAAACCAAGCGAAAAACCATTTAAGTTGTAGTATTTGTCGTAATTTTTAAAATCTAAACAAATCAAATCAAACGAAACAATAAAAACACAAAACAAATGAACGAAAAATAAAAAAAAAAAATAATTATATATACATACAAAGAAAAAAAAAACAAACAAAATTAAATTCAATAATTTTCAATCACAGCCACTTTGCCGGGATGTCCTTTTATCAGATTCTTTTCCTGCCAAGGATCTGGCACGCGACGCACATTAATGCATTTACATTAAACGATTTTACACTCGAAAAACAGAAAGTTAAGTGGCAACCGAGCACGGCGTCGGAAGGAAGCATAAAATCTGTTCCATTAATCATAAAGAATGCAACAGGATATGCTTGAGGCTTACAGGCTTTTACAATCTGTATGCTGAATGGTTCCATTATGTGCTCAAAGTCACAAATTGCACGCACAGTAAGCGAGAGCGAGAGTGAGAGAGACAACCAGATAGGGGATGCTTGAGCAAGAGATATCTACAGAGACAATGAAGCTGAAGAGGCTGACGCTTTAACAGCCTTCAAGTGGCTGCCAATTGAGGCCATTGCCTAGACCGATTTGCTATATTATACTAATTTAATTTAAAGCCGAACTCGTTATACTCTGTACACAGTGAACATGGGCAGTGAACGAATGGAGGGAATTGTAATTTCAGCTTAATTAAAAAAAAAAATGTAAGTAAAACTTACATAAAATGAACTTAAAATGTTTAAAAT